CTAACCCCCATTCCTTTAACCTCAAACTAACCACTATTGACCTCACCCCATTCCTAAGAGGTCTGTAAGGGGCGTGCATAAGTGCACCATCATGCCTACCTTCCCTGTCCTATTGTCCCCATTTATTTGTACCTATTTCCTGTAATCATATCATGTTTATACTTATATCTATTACCTTATAAATGACTGACAAATCAAATAAATAAATAAAATTATTGATAAAGAATAGTTGTTATCTTGAACTTTTATGAAGCCCTCAAATAAGTGGGTTTAACATTACAGTCTTTACTCTTTTTAATCCTTTACCTATGAAGAGAGAGAAAAATCCAGCATTTTTCAGTCTTCCCTTTGTTTGAATTATAGCAGATACAAGATGATACCAGATAATTATTTGAGAATACTCTGCACCTCAAAAGAGGCTGAATGGGCATTTCTTTGCTGCCCTTGGGGAATTTGTAAGAAGAAATCCTTTCCAAGCTGTCATTTTCTCCCATCCTTCAAATCATGTGCCCTACCATTCAGACAAATTGGCCTGCAGGGATTATGGTGATGGGCAGAGGTGGGGGTAGGTGGAGGTATAAGAGAAGAGCCCTAAAATTCATCCTTGATGTAGCATTTAAGCCGAGGAAAAAAAATTCTAAATTCACATTAATGTGAGCTGCTTTTGTGCTTGGAATTGCCATTTGGAATTCATTCATGAAGCCCCCACATCTAGTAATCATGCTTACCAAAAAGACACCATTTCTAATTTAGTACGGGGACATATTTTCCTGTGGGTTGGATCCAAAGGCCTGTAGGCAACATCAGAATAGCAAAATTACTTTAAGTTGGGCCATATATAATAAGGTATCTTTGATCTTTTTCAAGGAAAATGTGGCATATAGAGTTTGCCATGATAGTTAAGGTGCTGCTCTGGAAAGCTTCTTAGGCAGGAAATCTGTCTGGGTGACCTTGGGCTAGTCACGCTCCCTCAACCTAACCCACCTCACAGGGTTGTTGTTGTGGAGAAAAAGATGGGGAGGAAGAATTATGTATGTATGTTTGCTTTCTTGAGTTACTTAAAAGTAATAAAGGCAGGACAAAAATAATAGAAATAAAGAAATATAGGGGCTACCACAATGGGGTGGTGGTGGTGAGGGTTGTTCTTTGGACTAGGGAAAATTGATGTCACCGTTCCTGCTCAGCCAAGAGATGGCCGGTTGCAATGTGTATTATACAGACCCATGGCAAGATTTGCCACTAGAGTCATCTGGTACTGGCATATGGGAAGGACCTTAAGTGACAGGCCAAAGAAAATGGTCAATGAAATAGGTCAGAGACAGTATAGTTTGCAGCTGAATAGTGGGTGGGGCATGTAATGGTATGTGAGAAAGTTCTTGAATAACAGAATAAAAGAGTTGGAAGGAATCTCAGAGGTCTTCTAGGCCAGGCCAACTCCCCCACCCCCCACCCACCCCACTCAAGGAGACCCTATAGCATGTCAGACAAAAGGCTGTCCAATCTATTCTTAAAATTTTCCAGGGATGGAGCTTCTGGAGGCAAGTTGTTCCACTGGTTAATTGTTCTCATTGTCAGGAAATTTCTCCTTAGTTCTAAGTTGAATCTCTCACTTATAAGTTTCCATCCTTGTCCTGCCTTCAGGTGCTTTAGAGAATAGGTTGACCACCTTTTCTTCGGCAGCCCCCCCAAATATCACCCCTAGTCCTTCTTTTCACTAGATTAGACGCAACCAATTTCTGCAATTGGTCTACCTATGTTTTAGCCTCCAGCCCAGGGGTGGGATTCCACCGATATAACAACCGGTGTGTTTTGCCTGCAAGCTCTGCTCAAATTCCTATTTTGTAATACAGTTCCTGTGAATTGAACAGCTGAGGCACGGCAAACCGCTCTGCCTCACCAATCAGCTGTGCTCTAAAACAGGAAATAAAGGACAGGAAAGAGCAGGGGCGGGCAGGCTCACATGCAAGTTGCAGTGAACTGGTTCAAAGCCAGCTGATCATCGGAACAAGGGATTTGCCTGATCTGGTCTGAACCAGCAGAATCGCACTTTGCTCCGGCCCCATAATCATGTTTGTAGCTCTTCTCTACACCTTTTCTAGAGCCTCAGCATCTTTTTTTTTAATATTGTGACTCAAACTGGAGACCTGGGGTAAAGAAATACTGCCTAGGGCAGGTGTGTCAAATTCGATTTCATTGAAGGCTGCATCAGGGTTGTGTTTGACTTTGGGGGGCTGGGGTGGGCGTGGCCAGGGAGGGCATGGCCAGCTTGACATCACTCAGGTTGCGGGCACCTGTGGTGGCCCGAGCACTCTGCCAATGAAAATGGGCTCCCGAGCTTCATTTCTGGCTGCGACAGCCTCCTGCAACCCTCTGCTAGTGAAAATGGAGCTCACAAGGGCCACAGGCAGCCCTCACAAGCTCCGTTTTTGCTGGCAGAGGCACTGCAGGCCAGTCTTTCACTGTTTCCAGGGCAGCCCCGTGGGCCAGATCTAAGCACCATATGGGCTGGATGCAGCCCATGGGCCTTGAGTTTGACACCCCTGACCTAGGGAATAGTCAGATAAGAGAGCATAGCCCAAACTAGATAACAGGCAGAGAAAGAGGTTGAGAGGGGACTCCTCAGAGCGTAAATGATACAGAGAGACTTGTACTTTCATACCTGCAAGATTCTAAAAATGTAGTCGACAATTAAGTAGAATTAGTTCATCCGGTTGTGTTTTCTATCTGGTTTGCCCTGCAAGGCTCACATATTCTCAATACATCTCAACAGAAGAATCTCGGGGAAAGTGTTCCCTAGTGCTAGGCAGGTGTTAATCAGATGTGAAAGAGGGAATAGCAGGAGCCAATCCCTCCTCAAAGCTCTTCCCCCCCTCCAGTTAGTGGTTATTCCCTAAGCCCAGCTGATGAAAGATCCAGTTGTGGTTACACAGGAGCGGCCCTTCTTCCCCAGGGCTTTGGCTCAGCCAGTTGGATATCAGTGGAACAGAAGCAAATAGCTTGTTACGTGTGAAGTTGCCACCCAAATGATTTTCTGAATTGATTAGCTCCTCTCTTCTCCCTGCCCCCATCGCGAATCTCAAGATGGACCAACAAGGATCAGTAGATCCTCATACAGGGGAAGGGGCTCTGTGGCTTCCCCCTTTTAGAAAAAGAGACAAAGGAGAAAAAGGCCCGGGGTGGGGGTGGGGGTGTGGAGAGGCAAAATCCAAGAGAGGCACTAAATAACTGCTAGAAAGCAGCACAGATTGTAAGAGAGACCACCTTGGGGCAGCAGCTGGTTTTGTCTCTCTGGTTTAAAGGAGAGGCTAGGCCAGCATGCTGGGAAATCCTGCAGACAGAAGAGTTAATTAATAAGGGATGGACAAGCAGGCGGAGAAAAGGGAGGCTTAAATCCTAAACTTTTCTGGGGGCCAGGCTTCAGAATAAAAGATATGCTAAGCAGGAGTCTGTTACAGAAGCTAGTTATGGTCAGCAATTATTGTACCCATGTAGGCGGAATGCAGAAGGCCCTTTGGGAATAACAGCGCTAGCAGCTATGCCAGCAACGTGTTCCAAGACTGAGGCTGGCAAGGCCAACTTTCTTCTCTCTTAAGGCCATCCAAATGCTAGAAAGCCCGATGGCACAGATTTTCTTCCAGGTCACAGACATGGATGGCATGATGGTATAGCCTGGGCATTGACCACCTTCACACATAGACAGTGGTATAAATGTCGTGAAAGCAACTCCTTAGGAGACCACAGATGAAGGAGGCCAGATCTGCTTGTGGTAGGCTGCAACAGCATTTGTCATCCTAGCAACTTTAAAATGGTGGACATCAGCTTCTAGAATTCCCCAGCTAGCAGGCTGGTTGGGGAATTCTGAGGGTTGAAGTCTACCCATTGTAAAGCTGCTGAGGATGACAACACTGGACTACAAAGCATACTATCAGTCACGCTTCATCTCCAAGAGAGCCCTCATGATCACATTCAATTTCTTTTAGGGTTCCTGAGTGGATTAAGATGTGCAAAGCGTTAGGGGACTGCTGGTACAGGTTGTCCTTGGCTTAACAACCAAGGACAGACTGCTGGTACAGTTGTCCTTGGCTTAACAACCATTTGAAATTACAATGGTGCTGAAAAAAGTAATTGATGACCAATCCTCACCTTACGACTGACGCAGCATTCCTACGGTCATTTGAGCATCATTTGGGCACTTGGCAACCAGCATGTGTTGACAATGGTTGTAGCATCCTGGGGTCGTGATTGCAAATTGCAACTTTCCCAACTGGCTTCTGACAAGCAAAATCAATGAGGAAAACTGGATGTGTTTAATGACCATATGGTTTAACAACTGTGGCAAAAAGATGATAAAATTTGATGCATCTCACTTAATGACTGCTTTACATAGCAACAGAAGTTCCAGACCCAATTGTGATTGTAAATTGAGGACTACCTGAACTGTATATGGATTGAAGAAATCCAGGTAGGAGAAAGCAGATCACTTTTCTATCTCTTTGCTGCCATCTAATGACTATCTGGATTTCTTCAGTCTCTATATGGTATCCCTAATTAATTAAACTAAACAGCAGAAAATGTTTTTTTAAGAGTGTGAATTGTAATCATTCCCGCATATTTTCCACATATTTTAGTTATTTGACAAGGCAGGTAGACCTTTGGGACTGGGGATTAAATAGCCATGAATGGCTTTATCCTTTTCATAGACTCAGCATGAGAGATGTTCATTTGAATCCCCCTTTTTATTTTTTATGCAGTAGGAAAGCTCAGTCATGTTTATCTGAGCTTGGTAATTAAGGGTAATGAGAATGATTTGTTGTATTTGTGAGTGGCATTGTTGTGGCTGCTTCTCCTGGTTGTGTAGTATTTTGTATGTGAATCAAATGAATGCCTGGGTGAGGAAGCCTGTAAGTCGTAGAAAGAGTAGAACAGCCAAAAGTTTAAAGGAGGTAAATCTACATTGCAATACCAAAAAGAGACTTCACAGAGTGTACAAACTATCATACCTTGTTAATTTCAAATGCTAGTAAAATAATAACTTAGTGTTGTGGTTCGTCGGCAGCAGGTGCGGACGGCTGAGGTCTTGGAGAGCAAGGACTCAGATGAGCGTGTGAGGCAGGAATGGGGCCAGGACCACCAGGGAGTGGAATGCTACCATCTGAGATTGTGGAGGCTAGCAGCAGTGATGAAGACGTTTCCGAGGAGCCTGCTGCTTGAAGGAAAGAGCAGCTGCAGCAGCACGGGCGACTCAGAAGTAAGGCTGCCAGGTAATGGCCCCTCCCTCAAGAGATAAAAGCCAGCTGAGAAACCGGAGTTCTTTGCAGGAAGCAGTTTTTGCACTCAAGCCTTGTGGATGTTTGGAGTATCTTGGTTGGTGTTTGGAGACTCTTTTGTTTGAAATATTTCTTAATAACTTTATTTAGTGTTCTTGGCAGCCTTGCACCACTTTGGCAAGGCTCGTTCTTATCAGAGATAATTTGAAACTGCCTTTTAACTGTGAAGAAACGGAATTCATAAAGAATCATTAAAAGGTTTTTCTGTTACCGCTGTTTCATGTTTGTTTCCTTGGAGCAAGGTTTGGGTCAGAAAACTTAGATTCATCTAACAGATTAGAACCCTACATGGAAAAAGAAATGTCAGATGTTCAAATTGACTTTAGAAAAAGCTAAGGAACCAAGACACTATTGCTAATCCATGCTGGAAAAACGAGAAAGCCCAAGAACATAAAAAAAGAAGCCAGAATGTGCTTTACTGATTATAGAATGGCATTTTATTGCACTGATCCCATTACAATGTGAAATGTGGTTATAAAAATGAGAATTCTAGAACACGGGTGTCAAACTCGATCGTGTCACGTGATGTATCATGTCGGGTTTTTTCCCTTTGCAGAGCTAGGGTGGGCGTGGCCTGCACATGAAACATCTGGCCTGCAGGCTGCCAATTTTGACACCCTGCCCTAGAACATGTCATGGTCTTCAAGCAAAATCCATATACAATAGTACCCATAGTATAAGTAGAACATGGTGAAACAGATTGGATCCAAGTTGGCCATGTAGTGACTTTGATCTTAAGAGCAGACTCCTGAGATTACCATGGCTAGCCTAGGAAACAAGTACTGTAGTTGGATTATAAAATAAATAAGAGTAAATATGGAAGTTGGTTTTTCAGTAGGGAGGGAAAGTTCAATGTTTAGATGCTATCAGATCTAACTGAACTTCGTACTTTCTTGGTTCCAACAAACCTATCATAGCTTCTTAGAAATGTAATATGGACTTATGTGTGTATGCATGTAGTTCAGGTTTGATTTCAAAACAATTCAGCTCATGGAAGCTACTTTTCCTAAGATTGTGAAGCTGATTTTCTTATGTTCTTAGGAAAAGAGGTGGCTGCTTTAAAGAACTTAGGACAGGTTCTAGCTTGTGCCTCCACACTGTCCTACAGCATCTTTTAGAAATCAAATCAGAAGTGGTCATACCTTTAGGTATGTGTACATTTTCTGAAGCATATGTTCCAGCCACGACATTTAAATTTGTCTGGCATGACATTTTATGTGGCCCTGACAAAGAGCTTTGAGACTCATGATGAGAAGAATGAAGAATTTAAAGACTGGACTAGAACGGTGTGAGATTTATGCATTTGATTCTTCATTATTCTTGAAAGAAAAGACCACCTGTGTGTGAAGAAAAGTAAGAACCCTTCCTACCAATGAAAAAGATACAGCTGTATTGTCTAGATCAAATTCAGTCCAGATGTTTCAGGCTTGGAAGAAGGTGCAACAGAATGCTTAATGCATGCCATAAAGGTCAGAGTTTTTCTGTATCCTCAAACAGCATCAAACGTCTGCCACAGATTTATATCTCAGATTTAGAATACAACACATAGAAATGGAAAATATTCTATACTTCCAGTTGTACTTATGATGGAACTTCGTTCTTGCCTCAAATCAGCTTGGGCTTTTTCTCCAAAACCTCTTTTCTGAGAGTTTAGACAGAGGTCTCAAAGCCCTTTTAGAAGTAAAATTGGTTCCTCAACTTGGGATAACAAGCTTTCTGCCTACCATGCAAGATGAAAGGGAGAAGGCATCCAGCTGTATTTTATATCTGGCAGTGAAGTTTGCTCTGTTTCAGAACTGGCCCTGGAGATAACAAGCTGTATTAAATTGTGGAATTCTCTGCTCGTCATTTACAGAGACACTTACTTCACAGACAGTGTAAATTTCATCCCATGCTTTAATTTTAACTTACCTATTTCTACTGTACAGATATTCTTTCCATATATAGTATACAATTGGTTTTTAAATTGATAGTATTCTGTATTGGTTTTCATATAATACAGAAGAGCGGGAAATAATTTTATACAATTTTATAATTTTATACAAACACATTATTGTAGCTAGAGGTTTCAAATACATTTTTTCTTATGTGTGTGCCTTCAAGTCCATACTGCCTCCTGGCAGTTGCCTATGCAAAGTCCCTACAGTTTTCTTGGCAACGTTTTCAGAAGGGTTTTGCCACAGACTTCTTTGTAGGACTAAGAGAAAGTGACTGGCTGAAAATCTCTCAGCTGGAGAAACTTTTATAATAAAGGTCTCCTGCTATATAGCCTGGCACTTCTAACCACTATACAAAACTGGCTGTTTTTTTAAAAAAAATCTACAAACATATACTGTATATTTAGTGAGCCTAAGTAGAATCTGAAGAATAACCACTCTACCCTAAATACTCTTTCTTGTTTTTACTACTCTCCATTGTTTTAGCAACTCCCAAGCTATATTGAAAATGGATAGAATGACATGGAGAGAAAATTCATTTTGAGGATCTGGAAAAAAATGTGTGGGTGGGAGGGCTGAATACCCTTTCCCTCTTTCTATCATACTTTCAATTTTTGAATGAAAGAAAGATGCATATAATTGGTTGAATTGATACATGGGTGGATGTACCAAGAGAAAATATGGAAGAAAATTGTGCAGGTGTAAGCAGTATATAACTAACTGTAATTCTGTAACTGTAAATACCAAAAAAGAATGAGTGAAAGGGTTGGAAATTAGTTCCTTCTGATGTTTTATAAGTTCCATCCCGTGTTACCCCATTGTCTCCCTTTAGGCAAAATTTGTTTTTTTCAGCGGAGGGATAATGACATATTGCTGTTTCATGTAACAAGCCAGTATCATCTTCAAAGGGGCAGTCTACAAAGCAGAAAGAAGTACATGGGCCATAATTTAATAGCTATTATTTTTTTAAATTAGAAGGGTAATTGTTTAGACACTTCAACTTACATCCTCATGCCTTATTCCATCTGGTAACTGTAACAGAAACCATACCTTCATGTATTGAAAGGCTAATACCAAAGAGCATGGATTTTTATATAAAATTTCTCCCTTCAGATTCAAAACATCTGTTGTCACCAACTCCAAGGAAGGATGATCTATGCAACATCAACATCACTGCTTTATAATTATCAGATATCAGAATTTCATCTACCTTCTCCAGTCTGATACTATAGATGAGATGGTGTACAGTTCCCATGATTCCTAACAGCAAGGCTGAAGATTTTCGGTTGGGGGATGCAATCTCTACAGAAACACATACTGTGTTTCTCCGAAAATAAGATCAGGGCCTCAAAATAAGCACTAGGTTAAAAAACACAATTATAAACACGATTTCAGGGTGATCAACCTGGCTGGGCACCCTGCCCCCTGGGGCACACACAAGAGCCAGCAAGAACGCAATGACCAATGGTATCTGGCAGCAGCTGCAACCCGCCAGTCCCTTGGTCGGTGCACTCTATGGCTGTGCAGAATGGAAGGCACAGAGCAAAAGGCAGGTGATCCTGCCGTGCCACGCAGGCTGCAGGCAAGCTGAGAGATGCAAAGATGAGCCTCCCCCAGCCGCCTGCAGCCTACGCGGCACATCCAAATCACCTGCCTCCCCCACGCCTGCTGGTTGCACTGGTACTCAACTCACACATGGGTTGCAGCCTCTGTTGGCCTGTGCATAATAGCTGCCTATGCTGGCCATGGCCACCCCCTTTCACTAGGGCTTATTTGGGGGATAGGGCTTACATTAGGCAATAAAGTTTATTATTAAAAAAACAGGCTGGGATTTATTTTGGGGGTAGGTCGTAGTTTCGGGGAAACATAGTATATATTAAATTTATAGCCCCCTATAGCAGAAATAGAAAGCAGAAGCAAAAAAGGACACACCCAGTCAAACTACTTTAAGCTTCAATCCTATGCAACTGTTTACTGATTTCAGTAGAATGATAGTCTAGTGCTTTATGGAAATATTAGAAAGGCAAATGCATTCTTAAATTTTGGCAACATGGGAAGAGTTTTTCATAAATCCCAATCACAAACTAGCAACATCAATACTAATATAAATTCTTTGTTTGGGGAACAAGGCCATCATGATCTATAGTTGCTTCTCTACAAGGAAGTTGATTCCAAGAAGAACCTGTAGATGATTAAACAGATTAGTCACTACTCTTCCCTATGGAACTAGAGTTAAATCCCTTTTCACCATGAATCAGACAAACACAGTCAGTCCCAAATCCCTCTAAGCTTCTCACTCTTAATTTATAGTTTTACCACTGCTTACATGAACCATTTTCCACTCTGGAGATCAATTTGTAGTAGTTACAGTGGGACACATTTCCTACCTTATATTTGCTACTCAACACAAAACCTCAATGACAGCAGCTCTTATGTGTAAACACTCTATATTCCCCAGAGATAATACACTTGCAATTTTAGAATTGCTTGCAGTACAAAGCAGTTATGAAACTGCACTTCAGTGGTTCTTCCCCCACTAATGTCTCAAGGTTTTATCCTTATACTGGAAATAAAACCATCTGTATAAAGTTATGTGCACTCTGCTGCAGAGGAAAAATGGGCTATTCATTTTAATGAAAGATAAAAGAGTGGATGCAGTTAGGGACAAAATTAATTAAATCTGCCTTCTTGGTCTAATTGTGAGTGTAACTCTCTAGAAAGTGTGGGCAATTTTGAACCTTTCCAGCTACTTTAAACCATATGGAGTAACGTAGAGAATG